GGGGGGGGGGGGGGACTGGACTTGAATTGATTTACGCACAAGTTGGAATAGTCCTGTCGGTAATGAAATGACTGTAGTTGTAATTTCAAGTTACACATTTAAACTGTTATGTCCGATTTAGAACGTTTAGACTTTTCTCTCTGATCCATGATCGATGCATGAAATATCTTTATTGTTCAAGCTGAAAACTGATTTCTAGGACTTGGGGATCTATGCTGTAGTGACAAAAGACGATAATGTAAATTTAAAAATTTAACCCTTTCTAAGAAGAAAAAACGACTATGTCTTCCTCATTGGTACTCAGATAGAGGTTTCAATGTGGTTCTACTTTACTGTTGAAAATCGGACATTTAACTTTATAAATGTAGTATCCATTTAGAACTTATATCCACTGGTTCTTGGATATTTTGACGATGATAAGATATTTATTTATTTTTAGTTGTGACGTCAGTATCTACCATGCTCTTGGCTTCGGAACTTTTCATTATCTCAAGGCTGTCATGACTTTCGAGCAGGTATATTTACTTTCAGGAAGGTGCGAGGGGGGGGGGGTAAGGGACTCTGAGTTAATGAATATTTTATGTTTATTTTATGTACAATTAACAATTATTATATTTTATGTTAAGATTGCAAGAAAATCAAGTAAAAAATATATTCAACGTACACATTAACAGACTTCTAGTAAAGCACAGTTTATCCGAGAACTTCGGAGATATCGAAAGATTTTATTAAATGTCGGCATGCTAAATTTTACTGGGGTTTATCCTTTGAAATATGCAGGAACAGTTTTATAGAGCTTTATATAATTGTTCATTTTATAATCTAAATATTTGCAGCAGGTTTAGAAAACGACATTTTACAAATTCTTTCAATGTCTCCAAAGTTCCGGGTTAAACTTTATTATATCAATCTGTTATATATTAGGAACATGTTGAGACTGCCAGTAAAGTATTATCCCAATCTGTTATATATTAGGAACATGTTGAGACTGCCAGTAAAGTATCATCCCAATCTGTTATATATTAGGAACATGTTGAGACTGCTAGTAAAGTATTATCCCAATCTGTCATATATTAGGAACATGTGGAGACTGCCAGTAAAGTATTATCCCAATCTGTTATATATTAGAAACATGTTGAGACTGCTAGTAAAGTATTATCCCAATCTGATATATATTAGGAACATGTTGAGACTGCCAGTAAAGTATTATCCCAATCTGTCATATATTAGAAACATGTTGAGACTGCTAGTAAAGTATTATCCCAATCTGTTATATATTAGGAACATGTTGAGACTGCTAGTAAAGTATTATCCCAATCTGTTGCCACAATTAATGGATTTAGAAGAAAGTCTGGTTTAGGAGAGAGTATAGGAAAGATGGTGAAAGGAAAGGTACATTTTTTTCCCTATATGGACTGTTATCGTAATTTCAAGTGACTCGCCATGAAAGGATGACAATGCCGGATTCACAACGGTACCCTTGAAACCTTTATCTGTTCAAAAATGTGAAAGACAATAATTTTCCAGGTTTGAAAGAGTTTATTATCAGTTTTCAAAATTATTAACAATGATATCATACTTGATAAGACAAAGCCTGTAAGGTCTCTTAAAAATTTACGCTCACAGTCCCTTTAAATCAAATCAATTAAGATTATACAGCGGGAGCCATAAAAATCCGGAATTTAAAGACGACTCTCGGAATCAATTTGTTGTTTTAAATACAGGGTGTCCAACTGAACATGGCAGTTGGTAAATAGTTTAAAATGTCTTCTTCTATAATTTGTTAGTTGTTTGAGAACAAACAGAATAGTATAAAATATGGCAGTCCTATTATGATAAAATTGATTTCAAAGTAAAATATATTTGAGTTAAAGATTTGTTTAACGAAATAAATTGCATAAAGTCCTTAATATCTAATATTGCATATTTAAGAAAACATTTATAACTGTTCGTCAACTGTCATGTTTCGTGGGACACCCTGTATCCCAATGTTTTCGGACCCGTTGCACTTTTTGCATGATAACAATATCAAATACACATTAATTTGCTTTATGTCGTTGAGATTAACAACAGAGTGTGTTATTTGAAAAAATACATATATATGTATAAAAATATATAAGTTTATGTAAGGTTTGTAGAAAATAAAGCTTTACAAATTTAAGTTTAAATAATTCCTTTTAATTTACAGTAAAATATAAAATCATTGACGAGTTTTTATATACCAATAAATTGATTTTAGCATTGTAATGATAGTTTAAGAATTATAATGATATTTATAATGATTATGATAATATTTTTAAGGATTATAATGATATTATTAAGGACTATAATGTTATTATTAAGGATTATAATAATATTTATAAGGATTAAAATGATATTTTTATGGATTAAAATGAAATTTTTAAGGAATATAATGATATTTTTAAGGGTTAACATCAATCATAATGATATTTTTAAGGATTATAATGATATTTTCAAGGATTATAATGATATTTTCTAGATTATGATGACATTTTTAAAAATTAAATTGATATTTTTAAGGATTATAATGATATGACTGAAACTGAAGTGCATGCAGAACTTGTCTATGCAGAGTGTCTTCTATTAAAGGTAAAGCTTAAACAAACATGGATTTTATTTCTTCTTTAAAATTTTTTTATTATGGCAATGTCTGAAAATGTATAATTTTCAATGCTTTTATTTTTATTCACAGTTGTCGTGGTAATAAATCAATTTCTATTTCAATTTTGATTTCTACAATCTTTCAAAAGGCAGAAATACATAAACATGTAAAATATAACTTTGTTTACTTGTAAACTTGTAATTTGAAAAAAGCTTCTTAGGGATAAAAGCATTATTAATAAAAAGTCGTCTTCACTCAAATAAAAATTCCTTGGACAGAATTTTAAGTTTTCTGTATTTTGTTCTGGCAATGAACATTTTCTGTAATCAAACGATTCTATTTGAAAACATTTATGAAATGTTTGCATGACCCTCTCTTTGAAGAAAAAAAGACTAAAATCGTACTCTTCAAACTGCAGAAGACAACATTTAAGCAATTTTAAATGTATTTGATGTTGTTTTTAAGCAAATAGTTTAACCAGTGGACGAATTTGAGCAGCGGTTTAAATTCAAGCCACGGTTGGTTCCACTTAAAATTGTATCAAATGTTTAAGATTTAAGCCGGCGCTTAATTTAAACCGGGTTTGGCAGATTTAAACCGCGGCTCAAATTCTTTTAATTCCATCTCAGTATTGCTTACCAAGTTTTAAAGTGAAATAGACTTAAAGTTTTTTTTGACTTTTTAACTACATATCTTGAGTTTAATAGTCGTCTTCCTATTCCACTGTTTTATGGGACCATGCACTTGTATGTTAAAGTATTTAAATCTTTAAAATCTTTTATTTATTCACAAAGAGATAAGTTGGCATGATTGCTTTCAACGTTTAGAACAGTGAGAAGTTGAACCAGAAAATTGTGGAATTGGAACACGACATTATATCCATTCTGAACTAAAGATTGTTGAAAAAAACAATCACTTAACACATTTTTCTCTCAGAAACTTATCAGCATACGCGCAAAAAACATTTTTAACGCTAAGGAAGGCCTAGAACTGGCTTGAAAATTACCTTACTATTATTGAAGGCTTTGCTAACTATTGTGGAGGACGAGAACTTGGTGAGCTTCGTCAAGGCGGGGCTCAAGGTCAGGCAGTGCTACCTTTCCTTTAGGGAGTGCTGGACAATACTTCAGAGAAGGTAGGAGGAGGAGGGTTTAAAAGGGAGGGAAATGTGAACATGGGAAACGAAACTCTTACAGATTACAGCTTTCTCAGTAGGTATCACTATACTAAATCAAAGAATTATTTAAAAAGACGATATCGAATTCGTCACTGAATTCCCATGTTTATTGGGACACCCTGTATTTCCTTGTTATCTGGCAGGGACTGGAGTAAGGATGAGTTCAAATCTCATTTTGAGGGCGGAGTAAGGTTGGGAGTTGGAACCTTTAATCTGATGATGTCCCTCCTACCAACCAGGATTACTAAACTCATGGAGTTCGTAGGATTTGCAGGATCCAAGGTATCTTAATTTTCATAATCGTTCAGAGCTGGAAACTTTTGTATTGAGGATATCGAGATCAATACTAAATCTCTATATCCTTTGTTAATCTGCAGATTAACTTAGTCTTCATGCGAAATTCCGCAATGGTAATCGTATTCGTACCTAAGAGTAATAAGGGAAATTAATTCTCAAATTAAAAGTGCCCATAGGGGATATCGATTGGGATTATGAGTTTATTCTACATAAAAGTTCCCAGCTCAATTTACTACTTGGCAGTGTTAATGTCGTCGTTATTTAATAATTAAAAAAAACAGATTTCACTCCCTTTAAGTCAATGTATATCAACCGGATATCATGAGAAATTAATTTATTCCGTCGGACGAGAGAAGATATAGATATATAACTGCAGTTGAATATCGGGATTATCATTATCCAAGAGTTTTGGCTCTCAGAGCAATTATGTTTAGCGAGTTTACCCAACTTTATTTTTAGAACTATAATTTATTTTAATTATTATAATTCAACTTTTCTTAAAAGGATTTAGATTATTTATAACCAAATATACATGTATACTAGAAGTTATTGAATATACATGATATTTGAATATACATGCATATTCAATAAATACCTATAACAAACTTAAATCCTTTTAGGAAAAGTTGAACTATTTTTACTTTTAGCGTTTTCACTTTCAAATTTAAATCCATATTTTTCATTTTTTCACGCAGGAACCCAGTGAGGTAATTTAATTTTAAGTAAAAATATTCTATAGTTGCTAGAGACAAAAATTATACAAAGTAGACACAGAATTCATAGTGGGCAACCAAGGTTCTTTAATAAGGTTGTTTACCCTCGATGTGCTCCAATGATACGAAAAATTTCGTCTCCTAAGATAGATAGATACAAACCTAATATGACGTCACTGATTATAGAGGCGAGAGTGACGTCATATTAGGTTTTTATCTATTTATCTAAGGAAACGACATTTTTCGGACATTGGAGTAAGCAACCGTATTATACAAACAACCGTAGTCGGTACAGGTTGCCAATTACTGCTTTATGTTTTATACAAGTGCTTTATAATTCGTAATTATATAATGTAAATGTCTAGAGTGAAGAAGTGAGTTAGTGAGGTCAAATTATAAAATGCAAATGTCTAGAGTGAACAAGTAAGTTAGTGAGGTCAAATTATAAAATGTAGAGTCTAGAGTGAAGAAGTGAGTTAGTGAGGTCAAATCAAACACTTTAAAGACTAGAAAATTGATGCAACTGTTGTTCATGACAGTCTGGATCCTTGATAGAAATCGATAGAAGTCGTCGTCAATTATGTTTTATTTCTTATTTTGTTTATTTATTAAGTAATTATTCCAAGCATGGAAAATGTTCAAATGGTATATTTTTTATACTTAATACGAACAATTAATCTATGGATTTTTATCGTAATAATTTCATCGTTTCTTCATCCACTATGACAAGTAAAAAATAACAAAATATTTTTATTTACCTGAAACCAATTCAGAGGTTCTCAAATGTCGTCTTTTTAAGACGGATTTTCAAGCAGTAAAAGATGCTGCTCCTAACTTTAATATGTATATTTAACACAATTATACGATGTTTGAACCCTGTCAAATTGTTATAACCCTGTTAACTACTGTTTTCACCCGTTTAATTCCCCTTAGAGTTTGACTTGACCCTAAAGTTAGTTGAACTTGTTTGAATTACTGTTTGATTTCTTAAGAATAAAAAAAACATTGATTGATAATCCCTATTATGTACTGTTTGACGGGCCCTCAACTATAATGTTTGACCTAAAATATGCATTGTTTGACCCCTATAATATACTCTTTGAACTGATAAATATAATCTTTGAACTGATAAATATAATCTTTGAACTGATAAATATAATCTTTGAACTGATAAATATAATCTTAGAACTGATTAATATACTGAGCCCGAAATTTAAAAGAGTATCGTTGAACGATACTCCCGAGTTTCCTTTTTGGGGTCTTAACATTTATGTAAATTTTGATTAAAGAGGTTATAAAAAAAAGGAAATAAATATATCTGTTTGATCAGAATAATGTACAGTTTGACCCCTAGGAGATTGGTATGACCGAGATGTTATCCTGCTACCGGAATCCTGCTTGTCTCCGACAGTTCCTAGCTTCCATTATCCTGCTAGGATATCATCTCTTCCTTACTACTAATATGGGCAAACCAAACGAATGTGATAAAAGGTAAAAACACAATAATATTTTTTCCTGAATAGCCAGTGTTAAAGAGTTTTAGATGGGCAATATTTTATCCTTTTTTTAACATTTAAAGTTTTTTTTTGAGATATTTTTAATGCTTTAAAATTGTTTGCTTTTATTACACTGTAAAAGTACAAACATTTCTTATATTGTTGTGAAGTCTCTTTAATAATAATATTAATACATATTGCAGGCTAGTTGAGGAGATATTAGAGGAAAAACTAGCCAAGTACCCAACTGGAGCTTTCTTTCTATTTTTTAAGGAAAATTTTTAAAATTTTCATGAAAATAATTTTTTCTTAAAGTTGAATTTCCTTCAATTTAGTATCGATCTTTTTAAGGGGCGTACAAAGGAGTGGGTCACTAGGTGCACTATGGGGGGGGGCACGTATAAGGAAGCCTCATTTATGAAATGATTTAAAATGATGTGGGAAAAACATATTTGACATTAAAAGGCAAGTTTTTTCATCCTTCTTAATATTTTTTACACAAAAATTCAACAAATTAAACCCTACAGATTTTTTTTGCTGACTCGCGCAAATATTTTTATGATCAACAAATAATGTTCCTAACCAAGCAAAGTCTAAGTATGAAAGATATAAGGTTCTTTAATTAATCAATAAGGATTTTTAGGGGGAAGGCATAAAATCTTCTAAGGGTTGCGCGAAAGGTGCCCCCCCCCCCACTAAAGCTCTCATAAGCCCATCTGATCAAATAATTTTCCAGATTTTACCACATTTTCATCAAGAAAAGAAAGAGTAAGAATTTAAATTTTGGACTGCAGGGGAGATATGAAATGATTTCTGGTAGATGTGAAGCTGCATCCGTCTGGTATACCAGAGCTAATAATAGTCAGGTCTGTTTATTCTATGTACATTGCACACTCTGTACACTGAAAGAGGGAGGGAACCCCCGGACGCCATAAGCCTCTGCTATTCAGACTCGAGCCTCCCAGATTTGTTAGTCAGACCAAGCCTTCACTATGCAGACCAAGCCTCCGCTATGGAAACCGTGCCTCTGAACTAGCCTCAACCAAACAGAACAGCTTTTTATGTGTAATAAAAAATGTTAACCATTTTTTTTTGACGTAGTGGCATACGAATTTTACTAAAGATTAGATTTGTTTATTGATTGTCATGATTAAAAACATATATGGACTCATAAAGTGGTTTATAATATTTATACTAAAACTTTAAATATTTCTTACGCAGAAAGGAAAATATTTGGAGAAATATTTCAGGGGTAAATTTAGTTTGTTTTGTTGTAATCTTTGATTAAAACAATACCTTTTTTGAAAAATGTTAAGATTTTTATAAATTATACAAATTTTCTAGATTTAATTTGAACTAAAAAAGGTATTGCTTAAATCAAAGATTATAAAAGATGAATTGAAATTCAATTCATTTTTTTTTCTCTAAATATTTTTCTTTTCACTTAAAGAATGCTTAAAGTTTTATATACCACTTTTGTTAGTCATAATTAGGCACTATTCATGATAATCAATAAATACTTCTAATCTTTGAGAAACCTCTCATGCCACTATGTCAAAATAAAATTGTTAACATTTTTCACTACAAACAAAAGCCAAGATTTAAAAAAGCTGTTCTGTATGGTGGAGGCTCGTTCACTGCATAGCGGAAGCACAGTCTGCTTAGTGGAGGCTTGGTTTGCATAGTGGAGGCTTGGTTTGCATTCTGTCTAGCAAATCTGGGAGGCTCGTGCCTGCATAGCGGAGGTTCAAAGCGTCCGGGGGTTCCCTCCCTCACTACTTGTGCCACTACGTTAAAAAAAATTTTTAACATTTTTCATCAAACATTAAAACCAAGATTTAAAAAAAGCTGTGCTGTATGGTGGAGGCTCGTTCACTGCATAGCGGAGGCACAGTCTGCATAGTGGAGGCTAGGTTTGCATAGTGGAGGCTTGGTTTGCATTCTGCCTAGCACATCTGGGAGGCTCGTGTCTGCATAGCGGAGGTTCAAAGCGTCCGGGGGTTCCCTCCCTCACTGGACAGTGCATGCATACTGTACAAACACGTCGTGTATAAATTGCAGTGCTTAGGTTGTAATATTTTGGTGAAAGTGACTAAATAGCGAGGTTTAAGAATATTACACGTGTTTTTTAGTCTTTTGTCCTTTTCCCAGCACAGTAACATTCAAAGACGATCAGAAACTCGAGAAGTAGATAAACTAATCATTTGTGTCAGACTCTAATGTTCTAATCCTTATATCTTTTCAACCATCGTGAATATCTTTGGTATTTCAAACTATCAAAACTTAAAATGTCAAAGTTTTTCGACAAGATGCAAAAGATATCAGGCTTATAAATTAGAGTTTTAGACCCTTTTTCTTTCTATAATTATGGATTTAAAGATTCTAAAGCTGCAAATTTTTTCAGAAACAATATTGACTTTTGATAATAATAATAATTTTGATAATAATACTAAAAATAAAAATATTAACAATAATTATAATAAGAAATAATTTGTTATCCAGGTAAGCTGGCCCCAGTTCCAGCATGTAGGTAGCTGGGAGCTGCTCTGGTCGGCCTGCTACAGAGGAGAATGGCGGGAAGCTGAGGTCCAGGCTGACCGTTTGCTCCGGGAATCCCGTTGGTCACCTTGCATCTATGCATTCTTTAAAGCAGTGCTAATCTGTCAACTTGGAGACGAGGAAACCAGCACAACATGCTTCTATTCATAGCAGTTCCTTAATCAAAACTAAAATACATACCTTTGAATGGGATAATTATCAAATCATGGAAAACAATCAAATAAGTATCAATAACACCTCTTTTTGCTAAAAAATAATCTCTATTCTTTCCGATTGAGCACCTCGAGCAAAATACTTTTCAAAATACTTATTTCCTCATATTTTGTCCCAATGTTATTTCCCAATATGTTGTCCCAATGCTTATTTCCCCATATGTTGTCCCAATTTATATTTATTTCCCCATATGTTGTCCCAATTTATATTTCCCAATATGTTGTCCCAATGTTTATTTCCTCATATGTTGTCCCAATGTTATTTCCCCATATGGTGTCCCAATGTTTATTTCCCCATATGTTGTCCCAATGTTATTTCCCCATATGTTGTCCCAATGTTTTATTTTCTAAATGAATTATAACATGGTAAAGATTCAGGACTTGCAGTGTCCAATGAATTCCCTATCACAGTCCTAACTGTTGCCCATCCTGCCCCCGTGCACCCCTAGATTACCCCCTACTTCCCCACCTTCTAATTTATGAACATTTTATTAGCATAAAAGAACATTTTAAGGATTTTTTTGCTAGATGATTCTTTTTTATTCTGAACATCTGTTCTCGAATTCTTACAAAAAATTATTATTTCTGAATGCTTTCAGCTTTTTGATATCAAAAACAAAATGTTTGTAATAGATAGATAGAAGTTTGAATTTCAAATTCCATAGAACGAATACATAAAACTTTTATACTATCGTAAAAATAAATAATATTCAATAAATATCGTAAAATATTCAATAAATTGTAGATATTACTACTCTTCAAGGATTTAATGTATTGATTATATAATTAAAGGATACGGGGTTACTCACATAGAAGGAGACTTCAATTTGAACTCTTTTATTACAAGAATTTAATTATAGATTATATTTAATTAATTAGAATGGTCGTCTTCTACTGCCCGGGCTGGAGCTAGTCTACCTTTGGCACGGATTCTCAGTTATTGGAGATCAGCGGCACATATTGGAGAGATTTCATACTCTTATTGAAGAGACGGAAAAACAGGTAATATATGTCACGTGATCGCCGATAGCTCACGTGGTCCACCTCATTCTAAAAGTTGCATGATCAGAGCCTGTACAACATGTACATGTACTGTCCAGCTTGGACTACCCAGTGTAGAGTCGACCTAGCACGTATAGCCAGGAAAGATCACAGTGAATCACCAAAAGCTTATTCTTGTTTGTATTTTGTATTTTGTATTTTGTATTTTGTATTTTGTATTGTTTTTATCAGTAAAAAACCTTTTTGAGATGCCTTAAAGGGACTGTCAAACTAATTTCCAGTGGCTCTCCATTTAAAGAGTTGCATGCCCCATTCACAACGGTACCCTTCGTGAATGAGGAAAGATCAAAGAAAAAAAAGATGTTAACGCTATTTAAGATGTAAGAACGACGATATCTTCCTTATTGTTTATCAGATCAAGGTTTAAAGGTTGTTAATCGGATATGGAGAACCAATTAAAATGTTGTCTACAGCCCCTTTAAGACCTCTTCTACTAGGTCGGAAACTTGTCCCCTGAGGACAAAGGCCTGCTTGAGCTGCTGAGGAGCATGTGCTTGAAGAACCTGGGGTTCCCCCTCCAGGCAGAGGAGGGGTTGAGGAAGGTGATGTCCCTCTCCTCGCAGTTCACCTTGGACAAGTACCTGGCACCATACGCTACATTTGAGCTAGCACTTCTTCTTCTAGATCAGGTAGTATAACAATAGCAACAACAATAAAAATAATAACAATAAACAATAACAAGAACAAGAACAATAACAACAACAAAAAACATAATTATGATAAAACAAGGTACATTTTGTTGCTGTTTATTATTTAAAGATATGCAATAGTTGAATAAAATACATATTGGATATTTTACCTATCGCTGCATTGGGATTGAATTATTAAAAAATTTCACAAGACTGCTATATCATTTTCAGGCAGAAAGTTAACGGTTCTTAAAGTTTTCTGTAAATAATTATTATTATTATTCAAATTTTACTCTTAATTCTAGGAGAACTCAGATTCCCAGATGATGAAGGAAGGATTGAGTATCGTGGATTTGAAGGACAAGGACGTGAACCCATTGATCTAATTGCTCCAGGAGCATCGAAAGGATTGAGTATCGTGGATTTGAAGGACAAGGACGTGAACCCATTGATCTAATTGCTCCAGGAGCATCGACATTAAGCTCGCTGATGCACTAAGATAAGCTACTGATCAATTTGAAGAAGCTGATTATAGCGGGAGACTTTCAACCACTATGATCAATCTCAGTATTAGTTAATAGAAGAATGATCAATCAGCTATGTATAAAGTTTTGATAAAGCAGTAACCTTCTGATTTCGAAAAGCAGCTGATTAACGTAAAGACGGTATTGATCAACCAGCTGATTAATAAAATGACACCAGTAAATGCTTTAAGTACAGAAACTGTTCATCTAATGGTTAAACAACACAAACTTCAACACAAAAATTTAGCAAACGCTGTTGAATAAACATCAGCTAATAAACATCTCTCTGAATAGAATACTGAAGATGCTGATGATTAGATAGCAGAGGTTGCTGATCAAGCTTCCGAAGCTGCTAATTAAACATCAGGAGCTGCTAGAAGACAAGCGAAGGTTGCTGATCAAACTGAAAAAGCTGCTGAAAATCTACAGAAACTATTCTGAATTCAAGTAGCTGAAAGTACAGATTTGGCAGCAGAATTTAATTGGTTTGAACATCTGCTAAATTGTTTTATAAAACTACAGAAGCAGCTAATTGGCTGAAGCTTCCTTTAAACTATAGAAGCTGAAAGTTGATAAAGTTCCAGTGGATACAACTAATTACCAGTGCTACTATATACTATCGTAAAAATAAATAATATTCAATAAATATCGTAAAATATTCAATAAATTGTAGATATTACTACTCTTCAAGGATTTAATGTATTGATTATATAATTAAAGGATACGGGGTTACTCACATAGAAGGAGACTTCAATTTGAACTCTTTTATTANAGACGTTCATCATCATATTTTTAATATCCTCATCAAAGTAGAATTGTTTATCAGTTGGACCAATTATTTCTTTCAATGAGAGAGGCAATTGTATACTCACGAGTACTTCCCTATGTGCTTGCTGGTTCAACTGCATTGTGCTTGCTGGTTCAACTGCCTTGAGCTTGCTGGTTCAACTGCCCTGTGCTTGCTGGTTTAAGTGCCTTGTCCTATTCATAAAATCTTACACCGTGTTTCCTGCTCATGAGCATGGAGAGCATAGAGTTAACTTCTAGAGCACTCATTATCATTATTCTGAAATAGTTAAACAGTTAAGTACTCTATAGGCAAGTACTCTAACGAAGTACAAACACATCCGTTTGTAACGTGGACAAATTCGGGAGTAAGTTCATTCTTCTCGCCGTACTCCGGTGTCTGTCTGTGCTGCGCACAGACTCGTCTATTCGCGCTCTATGTTTACCGTATCACTTTTAGCTCAGTCTGAGCAGATTTTAAGAACTCATCCTGACAATACGGTTTATATTTGTACAAAACCATATTGCTGTACGAACAGAAATATATTTGTATAATAATTCTTAATTATACACACAAAAAATGTCGCAAAAAATGGAAAAAACACCTTCAAAGCTTTTTTTAAAAGGTTTAAAGTACTAATCAATGAAATGTTTCAATAAGGAATCGAGTCTGTGCCACAAACTCTGATTTTCTGATTCCTATAGATTTTCAATCCAAATCCCAATGTCGTAAACCTTAAATATCTAAAAATATAAAAATATATTAACTGCAAAATCAAATAATCTAAGATTGAAAAATCAAAGGTTTACACCATATTGGATATTGAAGTTTGTGGCAAGGATTCAATTCCTTGGTTAGATTTACGCTCAATGCAACGAATAACTTCCATTCTTCATCTTCCAACTTTGTATATGTCTGCAGGCACATTGAACCATTTTCCTATGCGGCAATTTCCAAAATAGTTATTTTCCCAAAGTTTCTATTTTCGAGAAAAAATACTTCCCAAAAAACTAGCTCCCAAATTGGCCATTAAAAATAGAAATTACTTCCCATAATAACTAGTTTCCAAATCGAATATTTCCAAAAATTCAATTTCCAAATAAACAGCCATTGTGGCCGGAAAATTTATAATTGGGAAGAGGTCTCGTTAAAAAGACATTACACTAAAATGAAAAATGCTTTCAAGAAAATTGACTGAAACCGTTAATTTTTATTGTTTGGTCCAACTAGTCGAAACAAACGAAACGTCGCCATATTTGATATTATACATAAACACACATTACTCAACTCTGTAAAAGTTATTTATCTGAAAAAAGTAAATATATAATATAAAAATGTATTAACAACGCCAATAATTAGTTTTTTAATTAATTAATTCTAATTGGAATTAATTTGATCCTAATCTTTGATGCAAAAAATCATGTTAAAAAAGTTATTTTAACTGAATTAACTAATCATTTTGTGCTGGCTCCGAGTTTACAGTATTAAGTTAAATCGTAATATTTTAATATAAAAAAGTGTGTAGTTATTTTAAAAATAAATAATATTCTTATGTCTTTTTCCGTATTTTTTAACGGAAAAAACGGTCGATATTAAAAAGATAGTAACGCGAATATATTGAACAAAATTCCTAATATCTCCAGTAATATTGAAAGGACAAAAATGCAGACCAGATTTTGAAAATGCCGGGACTAGGGGTATTTTGTGATTACTAATACTCGTAAATTATTTATCAAAGACGACCTTAATTTATCTCTCAATCGAAGTCTTTTGTGGGACATCCTTTTTAAGTCTTACAGGCTTTCAGGCTTACAGGGTGCTTCGCGCCCATCTACAATTACAGGGTGCTTCGCGCCCATCTACAATTTTAATTGTGAACATTTTCCTTGCGCATACATTGTAAAACAAATACAAAAATAATTTCATGGATTTGACAAACAAATTTCAAGGATATTTAAAATTTAATAAAAATCAAATTTTGTTGGAGGCTAATTTTTGAAATTTTGCTCATTCATAAACCTTCCCTGGGGCCACGTGAGGTCCCACACAAAATTTGGGCCCGATCATGTTCAGCCATTTTGACGTTAATTGGATACAAATAGACCGGCAAACCTGTACAGAGAGATGTAACTAAAATATGGAAACATGTAATAATTTAGTAAAAAAAAAACGAGGTTAACTGTGCACCTGTAGAGTTATCCTTTCGGCACAGGAGATGGTTTTCCTTTACATTCAATAAACATGGAATAAATACTTTATTTTAAAGGGAGTGTTCGCGAAAACTCACACCGATGACTACTGTTTGTAATATCTGAATGATTTGTTTGGAATTAAATTGATTTGTTTACGATCCGAGTTGAATGGTGCAACTTTCTGAATTTGTATGGACACTACGTTCTTCGGTATCAGTCGTTTTTAACAATTTTCTCCTTATAGACGCAACAGATAAAAGTAAGATTAGTAGCGATCAAATGCGCTTTTTTATCGCATTAAGCCTATACCCCCTTTCATTTTTCGCGAACGCTCCCTTCAAGCGTAACCCTCAATGAATGACAAAGAGTGTGACGTCGAACTAAAGTTAGGTTGAAATATTACATGCTTTCTTTTTCATGAAGAGTCAATTGGAACAACAAACAAGTTTTTTAATTTTACTATGAAACCAGTTAAATTTGCAGTTCTTGTACTGGGGGGTAAAATCAAAACTTGAGGAGCTACGAGGTTATAAAGTCGTAAAAGTAATTTTGATTAAATTGAAATTTTCCGTATGTCTAGATTGTGTGCTTTGTGCATCAAATTGCTCTATTTATGTATTTATACATTTACCCAGGGGTTAACAAATCATTAGAAACATTTTGTTTACAAAGTGTTTTAAAACCTTGGTAAGTTGGTAATGCCAGGTTCTCCAGCTAATAATTATATTTCTGAACCCATTTAAAAAGTACAAAATTGTCAAGTACTGTTTGAAAAATCTAAAAGCAAGTAGTTTTTGTCCTACCCAAGACAATTTAGAGATGTCAACGTTTTCATTTTTCTAGATTTAGCTTTTGTTACGATAAGTATAAAGTATAAACGTTTGAAACGTTACGTTGCAAATTATGACATTTTATTGCAAAGGGTTACGTCACGTAATGAATTTTCTGCACTTGAATACCTTAGACATTGCCTTTTTGTATTCTGTAATTATATTATTTATATGAATAAATATTCATACTGTAATATGCCCAACTATTGAGAAAAAGTTTAATATCTTGGATACCAGGGATAGTCGACATACCTTGCCCTTTCTCCTTTCTTTCCCTGAGTGTAAGAATGTGAAATGACATTTATTTGATATCATGAATTGATGGATTTTTTCGGAAAATAGAGCTAAACTTAATTTTGTGACGGCTTCAGTCGGATAGAAATTTTACAATGGAATTGAGCCTTTGCCACAAACTCTGATCTTTTAATCTCTATATCTTTGCAACCTAATGTCGTAGACATTAGATATTTCAAACTATGAATTCTGTTAGATCAAATAATCTAAATTTAAGATATCAAAGGATTATTAGGTTGCAATGATATGGGGGATTTAAAGTTTGTCTGTAAATTAATCCTTTAAAGAAGATACACCAAGGACCACTCACTAAGGATGAGACTTCAAAGACGACTGAGATTTCCTGCATTTTGACACTTGATTATTTCTTTTCTAATCCCTGTAATAGATCCTTTAAAGACTATTTTCAAAACAAAAGACCAAAGGAATTGAATCTTTGCAAAAAACTCAAATGTTCTAATCCCTATATTTTTTCAACCTTTGATTTTTCAAACTTAGAATACTTGATTGAACAGGATTCATAGTTTAAGTATTCGACATTGGGTTGTAAAAATATTGACATTAGAAAATTGAAGTTTGTGGCAAAGACTTAATTCCTTTAACCTAAAATTTGTATCATCTAAGATTCACTTTTTTAAAAGCCCTTAAAGATGTAGTACCCTATACCATGTGTCATCTATATATATGTATAAAGTTATAATCTATGTTTGGGTGTCTGTAGGTTTGTTTGTTTGTCCGATCATAACTCAGGAATCCCTG